TGCTTTTTAAATCAAAGGATGAACCATTTAATTCTTTTTTTGCGCGTATATACTAAAAAATAATAATAAAGATTGGAAAATATATGTTTTAGCCATTCCTGTAAAAATATCAAAAAAACTTAACCCATTTACAAAAATTATGAAAATTATTATTTTAAACGAGCCTTTTTTTACTATTAAAATTGGGATCCGTTAAACCGGTTGTTTTATTTTTATATTTTAGATTATAACTCGGAATGCATTAAATTTTTTTAATTTTAAACCTATATTACACTTTTTATAATTATTTTTTACAAAAAATATAAAAATGAATTTGATGCGAAACCCAAAGAGTTGAAATGAAATTGGTTATGATTTTAAATGCCGTTTATGAGCCTATAGGGTGTTCAGGCGTTTGAAATATTTATTAAATTATAAGATGTATAAAAAATGATTTAGCATTTCTTATTATACCAAATCGGCTTTTAATCGCCTAACATCAGCACAGTTTAACCCAAAATGATAAATGTTCATGTGCGGTTTATATAATTTTTCGAAGTTTAACGTAAAATATAAATTAAACTTTTATTTTGCTGGGAAATTAATTCGCTTTCTTCGGGTTTATAATGGAATAATATGTTTATGAAATAATATTATGATTGTTTTCAATATTTTAATTTATCAAGCGCTTCATAAAAGTTAACCATAATTAATAAACGATGGTCATTGAAAATTTCCGCAAGAGGCCAACGGGGCGCGACCTCATAATCGATAGACTCAAATTTGGCATTTATATAAATCATAAATGGTATAAAAACATATTAATCAACTTATATTATTGGTTTAAATTTATAAAAACTTATTTGAAATAAAAATTATAGATCAAGCCGCTCATTTAAATCGCATAAGCTATTCGAAATTTTATGTTTATTTTTACCAAGTTTTAACCAAATCGCCGTCAATCATCCTTAAAAAAACATTAAAGAAAAAAGATAATTGCCAATAGATATAGAATATTTTTAATTATATAATGTAACTATATTTTTTAAAATTATTTAACTCATATTTTTAAAAATTTGCATTATTTTTGTGTGTATGGGGTGTATGGCTCGGGTGGGTGCTGCTATTTTTTTGATGAATTTCGATGTCGGGGGTTGGAATTCCGAACGCCACACGAACTAACAAAATTTTTCTTAGTAAACCAATTGGAAAAATAAATACCTTGATTTGTCTTTAAATCTCTTTGTTTGAATAAAATGTAACCTTTTAAAGTTCTGGAATTTGGATTCAGGTTGGTGGGTGGATTCTCTTTTTTTTTTTTTTTTTAAACCATATCGGAAAAATATCATTATAATAAATTTTATAAATATCTGTTTTAATATAAATTATATATAATAAGTGGTTTAGCTTTAAAAATTATTTAACAAACTTCATTTTATATTTAGTTTTTATTTAAAAGTTATCCGCATCTAAGGCTTCCGCGATTGGATTTTAAGTAAAAATTTTCACACCGCAAACATATAAAACGATAAAAAAAATGATATTATGATAGAGAACAAAAAAAGTAATATATTAAATCTATATTTTTTATAGATATATATTCAATTGTTTCGATCCCTTTATGACTGACCTGGTCGGAAATCAAGTAAGTGGATTGTGTGTGAAAATAGAAACTATATTATATATCGACTAAGAATATAATAATTATAAAATATAATATTGGTTATACGTAATTTTCGATTGTGGGAATTTTTAAAAAAAGTTAAATCAACAAACTTCCATGCGACTGAACAAATGCTTCACCAAAAAAAAAATAATATTGATGGGAATATAAAATAAATTTTAATGGATATGATATTATATAATATATCATTAAAGTAAAAAATTTACGAATTTTTATATTTTTAAAGAACAGAATTGTCATCTGGCAGTGTATTTTATCCAAAGTGGCTTTCCAAAACACCACCACCTTTTTTT